AAAAACTTAACTTTAATCGTAAAGAATATAGAGGGGTATTACGGTGCCGCAAGCTCATCACGTGTTGTTGCTGATTAAAGGTTTGGTGTCAAGAACCCTTTAAATGCCAAACGCAAAAAATTATTTGTAGATCCAAATCCTTGAAATGTGTTGTGAAACTTGCTTAAAAAGCCTTTTTTTAAGAAAACTTTAGCTCAAGATGCTTATTTTACATGAACGTTTGCAAGTTAGCATAATTGTAAAGCATCTCATGCTTACAAATTTTTCCATTGAAAGGTTTTTTATGCCTCTGGAAAAAAACTGTAAACGTATCGACATGTTGTACCAATTAATTTTACAAAAATGCAACGAAAGTGAGCATTTGATATTTTTTACTGCTTTGCTGATCAATGAGCATTTTGACACTGTATCATTAAAATTGCAAAAAATGGTAGTTATTTTGTAGTTAAAAAATGTGAGACATCTAATAATTTTTCTAATGAATATTCATGTTCTATAAATGAATATTATTTCATATCAATTAATATTACGCAATTTTATGCAACAAAGAGAGAAAAAGACGAAGTAGGAAACAAAGTTTGCATTTACTAAACAACAGGTGTTGGAAGCTGTGAATACAGTGATGGAATTGTTTGAAACTCAAATTGTGGACTCCATTGAAATCGAGCAATTATACGAAATAAAGTTTTAGTTAAAATAAATGTAAATGATTGTTCAAATTTTAGAAATGTTAAAAATATTCTACATTTACTCAAAAATATTACCCTTTCGAAATACATTTTTGGATAAATTTTAAACAACGAAAATATAGGTAAATATTGATGGAAAGCAGAAGTAATTTCGATCAGAATGAAAAGTAAGCTAAATAACTAAGTACGGCATTTTACTGTGGGGACAGAAATTACAATTAGGAAGAGTTAGCGTTACCTGTTTATTTTCAAGATTACCGGTAACCATACCAGTGGACAGAGTCTAATAGAAATCGCTCATCTGGAAGTAACTATTATAATTAGAAGTAGTTATGAAGTTTATATATAAAGGAGCCATTTGTAAAGTTTATTTACGCAGTAAAATTATTTTCTATTTTGTACTATGATAATTAAATTCCTCCCTTTCATTCTGAAATTTCATTTATCAAAACACACGTGTGTAAGCCCCTATCAAGTTTTAGAATAAAATTACAGAAAAAGAAGTTTGTTTTATTTTCAAGTAATTACGATGTTTTACAAAATACAAGCATATGAGATTTTAATTAACATATACAGGATAATCTAATTTTAAAAGTGAGCATTTCATGGTGCTTTTATACGCAGTTAGGACGGAAATGCATAAAACAACAGGAACCTCTTACAGGAATTTTATTATGATGTTTTATCATATTTTGAATGAAAAGTAGTGTTTTTACCATTTAAGAAAGCATAAGAATTCTAATTTATCTTTAAGATTTAACCGATCTATTATTTATTAAGAAACTGAGAGATTTTAAAATGGTAAGAGCATTGTTTAAAAATTAACATTTTTATCTTAATTCTTTAAGAATGTCTAATTTTTATAAAGTACATTGCGGAAAAAAAGGTTCTACTGGTTCGATTGACGAAATTCAAATTGTGTTTTTCCTGTCTCGAAAGCGCGACTTGTCTCGAAAGACACAAAATCGGACTTTTTCTGAAATAACATATTATTTTTTTCCATATTTTGATTCTACGACTCAAATTATGCCTAGATATTAAAATTTGTAATTTTTGGTGAGAAATTTAAAAAATTATCTTGGCGAATTTTTTTTTTTAGTTGCGCCAAGAATAATTCACTTGGCGGAATTCTTAATTTATAGTAAACTACTTACATTATAATTTTTTCATTGATGCATGAGAGGAAAAATGGTCCACCGTTCATTCTTTCAAATATTTTTTTTTTTTTTTTTTTTTTTATAGTTGCGCCAAGAATAATTCACTTGGCGGAATTCTTAATTTATAGTAAACTACTTACTTTATAATTTTTTTCATTGATGCATGAGAGGAAAAATGGTCCACCGTTCATTCTTTCAAATAATTTTAACAAAGTGCGCGAACGACATTTTCGCTATTATCGCTTATATTAAATACACCAAATTTCAAAATGTAAATTCACATATATCTTAGGACGTTTTGAATAAAAAACTCTTAATTTTTTGCAAATATGCTTAGAAATACATCTACTTCAAGATGATGTTAAAAATTGTATAAGTTAGAATAAAAAATGTTTTTCGAAAAATTTATAAAAAAATATTTCGAGATACAATTTTTTAAAATAAATAATAAAAAAATTTGCAAATTATATTTGGATTAAGCCTAAATTTCGAATTCTGGAAGAAAAAAGCAAGTAAGTTAAAAAAAAAACAGATATTAAAAAATATATATCAAAATCGATTAACATTGAGGAGCTAAAATTTGAGAGCTAATTTTTTAAAAAACTACTCCTACGATTTTTACAAAACTTGGCGGTTTGGCACAATTTGATTCGTAGAATCGAAATATGGGAAAATGTTGGCATGTCATTTCAGAAAATGTACGATTTTGTGTCAAAATACCTATATTACAACAAAGCTATATATAAATCTAATACATATCCTAAATCGCGCTTTCGAGACAGGAAAGCGCAAGTTGAATTTTGTCAATCGGACCAGTAGAACGGAAGATATAGAACTGTCCTATTTTTTTAACTGATTAAATTGCATTTGATTTATATCTAATAACTAATGATAATGTATTTAACGAAAACCTTTATGAATGTCTGGAGCTTTGCAGTAATTAGTAAAAGATACTTCTAATAACTAAAGAGATTTATTTGTATTTTTTCATTTAATAAGCTTTTATTTTATTTTAAATTTTTGAGCTTTTATAATTTTAGACGTTTCGAAGTTTTTAATGGTAAATTCTTCTTTTAGGTGTTACACTATTTTGACAGTATATAACCTTAAGGTGATCCAGTATACGACTACATCTACACGTACTTGCATTGTATAAAAACGGCTGCACTTAAAACCCCTTAATTTTGACTTCGCATAGTCCTTCACACAAACATATGCGAAGTCTGAGTTTGGAATTTCGATTATTTTTTAAATTTTACTTTATGTTTCGTACGAACTTAAAGAAATTTTATTTGAACAACTCAGCAATATGTTCACTCGGCAACACATAAGATATTTATGCTTAAAATTTAGTCAGAAAAACTTAACGATTTAAAAGAAATATTCTGCTGATCGGAAAAGCATATGCAAGTTTAATCAAATAAATAAGCCATTTAAAACAAATGTTCTACCACTGGCCAAAATAAAATATTTCTAATCTTCCACGCACCAGTGCTTTGCTGTTCGTCAAAAGGTAATATGTTTAAATTTTATCTTCCTGTTATTGATTAATAAACTAAACGATTTAAAAGCAATAAACGAAGCTATTCCTTCCTATTATTATTAACTATCACTAGATGGATTCATAAAAATTATTTTTTATGTTTGCCTTTTTATAATAACCAAATACTTTATAAGCAGCTTGCACAACCGTCTAGTCTTAAAACAACTAAAATGTGAACTCACGAAATTATATGACCTTGTTTGACAGAATGCGTAAGCTATTAGACAGCTAGAAATTTCCTTCTTTTAAGGCCTGTCTTCCTTACAGCAAATGCATTCTTAAATAGGTTAAATATTATCCTTTTCTGCATGACATTCTTTGTTAAGTTTCAAAGTACATGAATTAATAATTCGTAGTACCTTCAAGCGAATACTTTTTGTATCGGTCGATTTTTTCTTAAATCTCTGGATGCTTGAAATTATTCTTAAAGAACAATTTTTGACTGCAAATGGTTACGCCCTTCTTTTTTTTTTTTTCTTGTAATTTATATTTCGTGCTTGATTTTTTTTATTAGTATTTAGACACTTTCTCGTTATCCCACATAATGTTTATTTATACTATAAAAAAGAAGAAAAAAGTCATTGCATGGTTCTATCCGTAATTATTTCTTATTATTTATTATGCGATAAAATGAAAGATTCTTAGAAATACCTTACCTCTCTTAAAAGAGAAACAATTCTCTTTTTACCCCCCTTTTTAATGTTTTTTTTCTTTTTCTCCTAATATTTTCTCAAAATTGTTTATTTCTAAATAGGAACTACGTCTGAATCAATGAAAAATCAGTTATCTAAATTCCTTAGAACTGAGTATAACCGTTCTTCAGTTTAACGACATTTTTCACAGAATTTTAAAAGTAAATTGAGGCCTAGTTAAACATTTTAAAATTAATATAATCTGAATGGAAGGAATTCAAAATAAATTAAAATAAATATTTCTTATTTTCGTAAATTGTAGCTAAAACTGAGAATGTTATTTTGTGTAGTTTCTTTATTATATTCAAAATTGGACATTTTAGTTACCTATATATCTTGGTTGTAACGAAAGTTTTCCTGCCCCAAAACGATCTTAATAAAGTTAGAAGAAACCGTGAAAGCAGACCTTTAGTGCGGGTAGTAATTACCACCCACATCTATGATTCTGCCAACATTTTGGTAGTTTTTCAAAGCTTTTATCCTAGAAACTTGGTGGCCGCGAGTCCAAAAACAGATCAACCTCATTTCGGGCGCCCTGTGCAGAATGGAATATAGCACCAGGAAGATGTAGCTGCAGGTGTGAAAAAAAGGCAGAAGTCTAAATAAGTGGTGTTGAATCTATATAGAAGGGGTGGCAAAAGATCCCAATGCAGACACATGTGGTCTTACATTATCTTGATGGAACATTACCTTTTTGCGTCGGAACTCAGTTCGACGTTTTTCCATGATAGCAGCATCAATACAGACTAGCATCTCATTGCACTCCTTCCTGTCGATAACTTTACCTTTTCCCAAATACTCTTTGTGGATAATACCGTGACAGTACCACCAGATACAAGGTACGATTGTTTCGTTAGTCAATTTGTGCTTTGCGACAGACTCACGAGGCGCAGACCAACCCTGTGTTGTTGAAGTAAATTCACTTTCCATCACAAATGACTGTCTGGTCCAGAATTTTATTCTTGTTTTGATATTCGAGCAGATTAATTTCTACTCTGAACACTTCTGCCCTTGTCAGCTCATGCGGCACCCAGCGATTGAACTTGTACGTTAAGTTTATGAGATGCATAGCGCGACTGATGGACATGGCACTAACGTGTAACTCTTCAGCAAGCTCTCGTATAGTTGCATACTGATCTTCTTCCACAAGTTCTCGCATGAGGGATTCGTCAACATCAGTTGACCTGCCACAGCGCTTTGTTTTTTGAATGTCATAGTCCTTGTATTTATCTTGCAGTACGAAACCTTCACAACGTCATATGATACAATATTAGTACAATATAAGCTGTACACATGATTTGGTGACATTCTGTAGCTGACCTTTTGCAAAAGAACTGGAACTAGATGATGGTTCCAATCTGGTAGCGTGATAGTTCTATTTCAGACACCTTGTACTTAATGCAATGATATATTTTTACTAATTTTACAACATAGTGTTTTAAAGCGAGTCTCTTTCTTTCAAATGCCGTTTCAGAAAATATGATTAAACATGCCAATGCGAACTACTTTCGCTGATGATATTTGCGGCGGCGAGAAACTCGTTGAAATTCTATATTTTTCCTCTACCGTAAAAACTCAAAATTACACAGTAAATATAAAAAACTGAAAATAAAACGAGAAAAAGCGTGTAAGTGTGGCCGATTATTTTCTATAAATATCTGTTATCATAGGATAGCTTTGATTCTGAACGTCTGTTAATTCTGTCTATCTGATGAACTGTATACTACTATTATTAAGAACGAAATATCTAATTCGGGAATTAACAAAAACAATGGTAGTTGATTTCATCTAATTGTCTACTTAAGCTTGTAATTTGTAGGTTAAATTACTTTGCTAAGTAGTTTTATTAATTAGCTTGTTCACTTTATTTGTATTAACTTTTAGTAATAAAACTGAGTAAACATTAACAATAAATTAAAACACTTTGTTCTATTCAGATCACAAGTGTAGATGAATAAGGTTTTTAATGCGACAGATCAATTTGATTCAGAGCTCCGCGCTTCCAGAATTAATTAAAACATTATTACTCCTTATTGTTAGGAAAAGTTACGTGATTTGAAATAACCAATTCTGATGTCTTTCTTACACTGGCTAATTTGCAAATACTTTTGAATCTTTAATGCATGCGATGAGAGATTAGACAGGATCGACCATAAAATTAAAAAAAAAGATTAATTATGAACTCACTATTACAGCTGTTACAATCTACAATGATAATTCTTAACATTCTTCTCTGCAGGATAATGGCTTTTTTTTAAATAGTTGTCTGCAGATTTCTAATTTCTCTTAGATCTGCAATGCGTTTATCTTCTTATGGAAAACAGACATTGCTTCTTATGCAATTATCTTAGATCTCCAGTGCAATTTATGCAACCTCTATTTAATTCCAAATACATTTGAGTTTGTCTTACAATTTTAAAAGCGCTTTGTACGTATTTGTATATGGTAATGTATTGTTGCGTGCATACGAGTTCGTAATAGATTGAATGCACAAGTCCGATAATAGGTTAATAAAATTTATTTTTTAGGAAAAGAAATATTTCAGAACTCTAATTTTAATCAGAAATGTTCGTACAAGTGTTCACAGTATAATCAGTAGCTACACTTCAAACTACTCACAGCCTTAAACACAACGCAATGCAAAGTACATCTAAAGAGAAAGCTAACTCGGATACCTCAGTTCACACGGAACTAATCAATTCGCAACAACAATAACTAAGCAAATGAAAGGAGATGCCCTCTCTGCGAGCTTTTATAGTTTTCAACTGGCCGCCGAGATATTTCTGGTACTTTCTGCTTCTCGAAATGACTGGAAAGCAATAGGAGGGTGAAATTACGGTTACAGGTAAAATATCGGTCAATTACATTCATTCAGTTTCAATATGTATTACAGTGATACAAGTACCGGAACAAAATAACGCCAATTTTGGCGGCTTTTGGCTATTTTTCGTCAAATTTGGCGTCAAAGTAAGTCGTCAAAACCATTGTCAGCTTAACGATATCTCTGCAATTTGGCGAGATATGTTAAATGTTAAATTTACTATTAATTTACTCAATGCCCCTGTATTCTTACTTTTCTGGCAAAGCTTTCTGTTAAAAATTTTCCCGTGCTTCATTACACAGAAAACTACAACAATTCTACTTATAATTCTTCTACAATTACCCATCTAAGAACAAAATTCGGAACAGTGTCTTTGTATGTGCTGTTTTATAATAGCTCATTCATAATAATAGGATTCATATTGTTAAAAGTCTCATTTTCCGAAGTAAAGAAATGTGAGAAATCTGTTCCCATCCTCTCCGGGATCCGATCCAAAGATCTTCAGTTTTTAACTGAATATCAGTGTTAGCTGATACGGGACTAATAGCAACTGAAGATCAGTGTTTCAATGTTAGCTAATACGGGAGAACATTAACGCGAATACGGAATACGGGAGAACATGCACCCATAAACAAGCGCACGGGAGAATATGCACGCGAACAAGCACATGGGAGAACATGCACGAGATAATTCAATAATTCTTTGACCCCTCCCATTTAAAGGGTGTCTGGAGATAGTCGCGTGACCCATTCATAGTTGACCAAATCTAGATGGAGAAGAATAACCTTCCATCAAATTTTATTTTGCGTGCCAGAATAGAGATTAACAGGTTTTTCGGAGCGAAAACATATAGCCAATGGCCATATAGCCATAAAGCCAAATATTGTCTTTGCCAATATTTGAACCATAGATCTTTCGATCGCTAGCTAGATGTGTTAACCACTTACGTCACTAGAACACGCACGGGGGAACGAACTAATTTCTTACAGGTTTTAATTTTTATTCTGTTAACACACAAAGATAGCGTAAAGGTAACAGCTAAACGAGAATAGGTATCTGTTACGTATGCCAAAAACGGTGTAAAAGGTAGCCAGTTGAAAATTCGTGGGAGTGCTGCTATGGTTTGTTTTAATTTATAATAGTCTATCAATAAAATGTGTTCTAAAGTTAAACTATTTTATTTATTTTTCTCAAAATTTAGGATCTGTTGAGCTTGTTTTACAGATGATGTTCAAAAAATAATTGATTTAAATTTTTATTTATGCGAATAAGAATGTGAATCAAAAAGCAACTAAGACTAAATACCACTTAATATAATTTCCATTTTATATTTTATGTCTAAGTGTGAGTAAAATGAAAATTAAAAAGTTAACATAAAAAATAAATCACTTAGCAACAATAGAGCTAATTAAGTGTAAATACTTATTTAGAACAAATATATCATAAACTTAAAGAAATATAATTTAAACGTAACTACAAGCATCTTTAAAAAATTTAATTTATACAGATTTAATTCAGGGTGGATACAAACTATATTATGCGAAAATAATTTTTCCTGAAATTAACACTTTACGTAAATATCGCTAATAGCTATGCGTAAATTAAATTAGAATATATCTGAAGTAATAAAACACTTGCAGAAGTCTATCATTGCTTAAAAATTACAAATAGTTTTTGTAGAAATGCATCTAGCGCAAATAGGTTATAATATTCTTACAAGAAATAAAAAATGCAATCTTAATTGTATAAGTCGTAAACATTATCTTAACTGAAAAGGCAAATCATAATATTATTTTGCAGTTAAATCAAAAAGCTGGAAGACATATTATCCCTATCTCTGACTACCAGACATTTTGTTGCAGCCTAGAATAATATATCTTAATTATAATTAAATTTTTTATTTGTTTTAAATGAATCAGTATTAGTTTATAATCAAATCATTTGAAAAATACCCACATTCAGATAATTATCTGTGCTTCTTTTTTAAATTGTATTCATGAAAGTCTTTTGAAATCAGTGGCATCATACTCAGTTTGGTTTATTTAAATTATATATTATGCATAAGAAAAAGAATACAGTTAGACTGTTTATCGATATGGTGAACAATTTCTTCAACTAAAGAAAATCTGAAATATTACAAATGCTGAATATTTAATTAGACATAAAATTTAACAAATTTCGGAAGAAAAAATTATCACCGCTATTAAGTATTCTCATTTTATTTCAGAGCTGTTCGAAATAATTCCTAGTTATTTCAGTATGCAAGTAATCTTAAATTATGTATTTATTAATTAATGAATCTTATATCTGCTGAATTTTTCTAGTTAAGAATTTAAAATGTAAAGCCTCAAGATGTGCTATTATAACTGTCAAAAGTTTTAAAAATAACGAGTGAAGTTTCATTCTATTCCTAAGAAATAAGTCACGATATAAAAGTTCTTTAATTTGGTGCAAAGGGTTTAAATACGGATGCAGAATGTTTGTCTCATTATAAAAATATATCCATTATGACGCATAATCACGTCTAATAAAAAGAAACATCGAACATACTTTCTGAGGTATTTATGATAAAATTAAATAATAAGATATTATGATAAAGTTTTAATTAAAGTAAAATTATCCTTATGAACAGAACTTAAGACTTTTAATTTTCGTTGAAGTAAAATGTAAAGCATTTTATTTGTAACATTTTATTTGCATGTGTATAAGTGGTTTTATTTTATTTGCATGTATGTAAGTGGTTATATGAGGAAAGACAAATGCTCTTCTCTTGAATTTTATATGTGCTTGGCTTATAGTTATAAAAAGAAAACAGTCTTAATTTCTGAATTTATGACTTGAATTGTCTAGCAATGAAAACAATGTTTGTTAAGTTTCTTAGTTATAATGATAGTCCTAGAAATGTTAAACTATTATCATTCTATTTTCAATTTATCTTGCTCTACAAATAAAGAAACACGAAGTTAATATACGGTTTAAAATGCTGCAATAACTAATCAGATTTCATTCTCTTCTGGGTGATACTTACTTATATATCACTCAATTGTGCTCACCAGTTTAAGAAGATATTATTCTGAACAGTTTTCGCGTTTTCTAGTTTAGTGGTATATCCACTTTCTTAACATGAGCCCGGTTCGAATCACGGAGATGGCATGGATATTTATAAACATATATTGCCTTTGCGATATATGATGCATTTAAACTTCCGTTGAGCTAAAAGCCGTCTCCAAAAGCTGATGGTAAGGAAAAAATGGTAAGTGATCCATGGATTCATCTTGCGAGTGTTCTGCATCAAAATTTGAGCAGAGCTTTATTTTCTAAAGGGGGTAGTTCCGTAGCTCCTTATAGTGCACTCTGGGCAATTTTCTCGGTGAAAAGACAGCTAAATGACCTATTCTGGATGAATGTCTTAAGTAGCAAATGT